ACCCCAGCCCCCCCCGCCAGGTCTGCCAATGCCCCTGCAACGCCCCGACTGGCTCTACTCCCCATGAATTGCCTTTGGGAGGAATTTGGCCCCCAAAATTTCAAGCCTCTTGATGCGTTTTACCGACTCGTCCTAGGTCCACCAAGTGCGCACAATAGCCAGCGAGTCACAACTCCCCACTCAGACGGGTGGGTTCCTGCTTGTTCTGTGGCTTGTTTCATTTCAGGAGAATTTTATTTACTGACATTTTGGGGCATTTACAAGAAGCCCTTGCAATGACACCATCTTGACACGTGTTCTTATCGCCTCTTGATGCGTTTTACCGACTCGTCCTAGGTCCACCAAGTGCGCACAATAGCCAGCGAGTCACAACTCCCCACTCAGACGGGTGGGTTCCTGCTTGTTCTGTGGCTTGTTTCATTTCAGGAGAATTTTATTTACTGACATTTTGGGGCATTTACAAGAAGCCCTTGCAATGACACCATCTTGACACGTGTTCTTATCACAGATCTTTTTTGAAATTCATGCTGAATCTTTTTTGGGGGGGGAACGAGGGGGAGGAAATATCTGTGTGTGGGGGGGGTTGGGAATGACGGGGAGGAAGAGTGTGTGTGTGTGAGATAGATATATATATAGATATATATATAGATATAGATATATATCACTATCATGGTCACAAAGTAAAGATTTCTTTTTTTTACTAGAAAGAACAAGAAAAGAGTTAACTCCCTTATTCCCAGCTTGGATCTTTTCCACGGGCCAGCTCCCAACATATGCCTTTAAATCAGGGTTGACACGGAGGGAGAAGTGGGCCTCCCATGCCACGGGCAGGAGGGGCAAGGAGCCAGCCAGCAGGGCCAGAGTCTCTGGGCCTCCAGGACTAGCCAAGGGGTGGCTAGAGGAATTTCGTTCACAGGCCTCTCACCTACGACTAGGACTTGGGTCCCACCACAACAGAGAGAAGTCACTACAGTACCTTCCCCAGCCAAAACCTACTCCCCAAGCTGCCATGACGGCAGGGACATTGGAGTTTTGTTTAGCTGGTTCTTGGTATTCTTACAACAATAAAAGCCCTGGCTCAAAGTTTCTGAAACGACTAGTTTCTGGCATGGCTTTGGGAAAATAGTAATGCTTTCTAAATGACTGCTTTCTTATTGAAATCGTTTCGTTTAAAACGTCCATGTGGCTAGTTCTTCTAACTAATTAAAAGTGTAAGTTGAGATGTTTACAAAAAAAGATAAGACGCCCACCACGGAAAATCTCAACAATCTACCAATAACTTGCTAGAGATTGTACCAGCTAGAAAGTTTTAAAAGCTCAGCAAAGCCGACGTCAGACAAGCCCCCTGCCTCGCACGCATCCTCCCGGTGAGCATACCAAACTCAAACAGCATTGGTAAGCCAGCTGCCCAGGAGACATTTCCAGAGGCCGGGGGATACAGTGAACTTCCTTAAGCCAGGAGAGTTTGAAGTGACTTATCAGGGCTCCATTAGGAGCTCAAGTCTCCACTGATTTCAAATGCTACATCCTTGGAATAGGGGCTGACTTTTTGTTCTGTTTGTCCATCTCCTAGCATGGTAGACTCCCCCCGCCCCCCATGCCTTATGAGAACTGGCTTGTGAATGAACATGCGGAACTCAAAGATGCTTTAGACAAAATTCCTCGTGTAACCTATCGGTTTTGTAGACGCAATCTGCTGGATCTGCATCTCCCATTTTTACACAGGTCTCATTCTTGGCTGCAAAGTTGGACTATGAAACGGGGGTCTGTTTATAGTACTAAACGTGTCAATGAGGGCCATCACTCACAGCCCGGAAACCTGATGGCTTAGTGATCAACTGCACAACTGGTGAATAGCCTTGTTTGTCCTGTAATGGCCCTAGGAAGACCTGCCATCATGCCACCTGGCACTGGAATCCATTTTGAACCTGGCATTTTTCCCTGGGGGTGGGGAATGCAAAATCAAGGATTCCCACTCTGGGGAAAGGTCTCTTTAAGTAATGGGACACAGACAACCTTTGTCTTCAGCTGGCCCAGCATAACAGGAAACAAAGAACTCTGAAGAAGCTGTAAAAGATCAACTCTGATTTAAACCTTTTACCTGAATAAGAACAGCTGTTTAGGGCAAGAATTTGCATGTAACTAGTTTCGTAGTGGATGAGAACTGGTTAAGCATTGGTTGTTTATTCTAATTTGGTACTTTACTTTGATCTGACTGTTTTCTCTTGCAACCACTTAAACCCTACATTTTATACTTAATAAAAACGTTTTTGTTTCTTATCAGGTCCAGGGTAAATAATTGCCAACCACTGCGCATCTCTCTCTTTCATTGACAAAGGAACTAACTTTATGAGCTTTCTGTGTGTCAAACTTTTACACAGAGCGACAAGGATTTGTTTGGGAGTTGGATCCCTTTGGGGGTCGGTTTCCTGGGTGCTACACCCTTAAAGTGGAGCCCTCTTGGAGTTCGGTGTCAGTGCTGCTCTGTGGGGGGATGGTACCCCAAATCTGCGACTTGTCTGAAGGAGACCAGGGGATCTAGCTGTGACGTAGTGGGGGTGCTGTCTGCTCTGTAACCCAGTGTCCCCCTGTGCTGTGCTGTGTGATTCCCACTGACTCACCCACATGTGTATTAGCCCGGACACCTGATAACAAGGCTCCTTCCCCAGGGGAGAGACAAAGGAAGGGAGGGGAGACGAACACCTGGTTTGGGGGCAGGGTCTGGGAGCGAGGAGTCTTGGGCTGGAACCAGGAAGGAAACAGACTAAGGAGGGGGCTGGAATCCAGGGGCCCAGGGACCCATCTCAAGGGGGTGGAGGCATCCTGGCCCGGACTCCTGTAGACACATCACGTCTATGCTGTGCTGTATCTGGAGAAGCAATAAACCCCTCCCTGTTCTACTGCCTGGCGGAGCCTGTTCTTGCTGTTACGGGGCTGCAGGATAGAAGGACCCCGACTCGCTGTCACACCGGCCCATCAGGACAGGGTGGCGAGGAGTCCCAGAGAGCAGAAACGCAGGTGTCAGTAGCACAATCAACACACCTGGGGACAATCCTAAGGGGACTTTTGTGATTTCACCCCCGCACAAGACAATAAAAAACAAGAAGTGACCTGGGCAGGAACTGAGCCTAGAGTTTTGCCTCGTACGTGTGGCTGCCAAAAGCACCCAAGTGTGGCGGTCAGGATAACCTTGTGAATGCATTGTATTGAAACAGCAGTTCTGGTTTGAAGGGACAGATAACAAGGCTCTTTCCCCAGGGAAAACATCATGGGGGAAAAAAGGACAATGTGCCCGCCGACCTGCACTCGTGGATGTGGCCTACCTGTTTGCACCAGAGCGGTCACATTGAAGTCCAAGTGCCTGGCCACGTGAGTGTAAGGCCCTGCCTGCCGAAGTGCTTGTGTGTTGGAACAGAGTCTCTGCCATCCGGTAGGTTGGCAAAGCTCAAAGAAAAGGAACCTGACCCACAGCGGCATTTGAAAAGCCAGCCTGTGTGATACAGCTACAACATTTTAGTCTCAGGTTACACTAGCCTCCCTTTTCAGATCTGTGGGCTTGGTTGTTTTATCCATGTACCTTGGCTGGAGGCTTTGTAAATGATTCAAACCAGGGCTGTAACATGCCTTAATTTAAAAGTCACTCTGCCCTCTTTTGGGTGCCCACGTGGGACCTCGCGGTCCGAGGCGCTAACATCTCATCCACGTCTTCTGGAGTCGCGGGGGCTCAGATCCTCCAAAAGATCAGGCCCCGGCGCATCGAAGTGAGCGCCTGCGAATACAAGCCATTGGGGAGACCAACTCCCACTGGTGCTGTTTTCTGTGTCCTTCTGTGCACGTCTGATGGAACTGACCCTGACAGAAGCATGTTCAGACAAATGAGACCGATGGAAATAGCTACCGACCTTCTGCAACACGCCCCTCCATCCGTCTTTTATGTGGACAAAGGAAAAAAAGTCAGAGAGCGGAGGAGGCCCTGGTATGTGGAACTGGGGTGTTGGGAGTGAACCGTAAGCTGAGCCCTTGCAAGACTCACACGGAAGCCTGCAGGAACCGCACGAAAGTGCCGGCTGGATAGCGTCAGTCATTGGAGACTGTGGGCAGAGAACAGTGGCCGTGTGAGCAGGAAGACAAGTGCTGAGGAGAGCTAGCGGAGGCGGGAGCTGCCGGGATATTTCGGAAGAGGCAGGGAAGGGAGGAACACGGTGGAGCTGGGGGTGTGGGAAGCCAAAGTTAGGGGGAAAAGGCTGAACAGCGTTTGGATTTTCTCCCCGAATATTCAGTCTCACGAGAACAGGAGTGAAGGAAGCAAAGGGAAGAGGAGGCAGGCCCCAGGCCTAGTGGAAAGAGAAGAGGCCAGGGTAGAGGACAGACACTACTGCAGCAGGAAGTGAACAGCAGAGAAGACTCAGCCCAACACGTATTCTTGAAGAAATGGAGCCACAGCGCAATATGGCCATCCGAGACCCTCCTCCATGCCCTGTGGTTGGGGTCATCCTCTTGACACTCTGAGTCAGGAAAGCTGTGGAGAAACTGGAGAAGGTCCAGAGAAGAGCAACAAGAACGACCAAAGGTCTAGAGAACATGAGCGATGAGGGAAGACTGAGAGAACTGGGCTTGTTTCGTTTGGAAAGGAGAAGACTGGGAGAGGACATGAGAGCGGTTTTCAGGTACCTAAAAGAGTGTTCCAAGGAAGAGGGAGAAAAATTGTTTTCCTTGGCCTTTGAGGACAGGACAAGCAGCAAGGGGCTTAAACTGCGGCAAGGGGAGGTTGAGGTTGGACATTAGGAAAAACTCCCTACCTGTCCGGGTGGTGAAGATGCCTAGGGAGGTGGTGGAATCTCTGTTGTTGGAAATTTCTAAGAGCGGGTTAGACACACGCCTGTCCGGGGTGGTCTAATGCTTAGTCCTGCCTTGCGTGCAGGGGACCGGCCTAGCAGACCGCGCGAGGCCCCTTCCAGTTCTGTGCTCCTGTGAACGGAGCGGTCGGGCCAACAGCGTGTCTGGGACTGGTTACAGCTTCTGAACCGTTTGGCTTGTGCTCAGAGCCCTAGTCCTGCCGACTGCCCGGAGGCTGTGGACACGGAGCCCTAGCAGGGTGAAAGCGGAGTGAGCCACATTAACCAGTCGCGGGATTAACGGCTGAGGGAGCAGCCGGGGCAGGCGGCGACTTTGGCTGTGAATTCCTCACCAGCTCCTTCATTCCGAAACGTCTGAGCCCGGCCTGGCCAACGCAGCGGGGCCACACGGAGGGGGCCACACCGAGCGACTGAGCCCCCCCGGCACTGAGACCTGGACCGACCCGCACGAGAGCATAGCCCAGTTTGCTCTCCCTGGCAGGACGCAGGCCCAAAGGGACCGGCAGAATCAGCCTCCCCACGTTGTGCAGGCACCCGCCAGTGACCCTCTCGTGATCTCTAGTGCCAAACTCCAGGTGAGAGACCCCATCTGAGAGGGCCTGATCCCGGGGCAGCAGGGCGCAACCTGACCTGAGTTTTCTCGGTCAGTAACGAGTGCGGTCAGCCACTCCCTGGAGAAACACGGATCCCGGTCGGACAGGGAAGGGTCCTTCCTGCCCCAAAGCAGCCCCACACCAGGGTGCCGCAGGGCTCGTGAGCACAGCAGCCGGGCAGAGTCCCTGACCCTGGCTGCGCCCCGTCGAAGGGTGGACAGCCCAGCAGTGCGAGGAGCCGCATGGCAGAGAGCAACTCCAGGCAGGTCTCTCCTGGGCCGGCCACGCCCTCCGCGCTCAGAGGCATGGCCGGCCGGGCGGCTGGATTTCACCCTGCACCTGTCACGCCCACTCCAAGCCCTGAGAAGAACTTAGGCCGGCCACCTGCTCGGCAGCTTGCTAGAAATACAAGCCAATGGGAAGCAGGGAGTTATTTTAACGTACTGAGTGTTGTTACGCGCAGCGCACACATCCGGCCTGTCATCCATTTCCTCCCGACTGCTGACTTGATCTGCCTGGAGCGGACAGCTGCGGTTTCCTCGTGCTTCGCTCTTCCACCACAAGGCATGTGAGAGTCAGCAACTTCTCCAGGGCACCTCTCAGCCTCTGGATAGGAATCTGCACTGGGCAGCCCGGCAGAGCTGAGTCATCTATCCGCTTAGCTTGCACCCTTACGGGTCATCTGTGGACAACCCCTGCCTACGGATCGGCACCTCCGCGTGGACCCCAAGTCCAGCGCTCACTGGGCACGCTCAGCTGCAGTTGTGAAATCCTGGAAGCAGCAAGGGACTTAGGCAGCATTCCAGCTGGGAAAGCGAGGCCCGGGTCCCCCTTGGACATGAGGCAAGGCCGCAGCCGCCTCACCCAAGGGAGCTGAGCGTGGTTCAGGCTCACACCACGTTGCTGCCCTGTTGGGGGAAGCGGAAGCATTGCGGCAGCTGGTGCATTTGACCTGCAGGGGTGGGATAAGAAAGTACCATGTGATGAGAGGAGCAACTCTGGAGAGAGACCAAAGAAGCCCAGGAGGAGAGAGCAGAGAAGCCCAGTATGATGTGCCAGTCTGGGAGGGATTCAGAACCACCCACAAAACACACACACACACACACACACACACACACACACACACACACACATTGGAAGATCATTTTGATCTCGCAGGTGAGATAAGTGGTTACCCACTAGGGTTGCCAGATGGTTTAACCAAAAATACCGAACACACTCACACCCAAAAAAACAAAAAAAACAAACCACCGGGGAGAAAATTCTGTTGGGGGGGGGAGGGGAGATCAAAGTTATTGAGCAAAAAAAAAAATTAAAAATTGAAAGAAACAGCATGGCCCTTTTAGGAAACGCTTTTGAGGCTTTTCGGCCTGACCAGGCTGCTGGCGGCCGTCCGCCATCTTGTCTTCCTGCTCTGGGCCAGACAGCTCCCCAGCAGAACCCGGTAAGCACGCGGGATTTTCGCCTGCTGGCCGGGAAAAAAAATCAGAAAATACCGGACATTTTAGGTGTCTGGTACTTTCTGAATTTTTTTTACTGGACAGGAGGTGAAAGTACTGGACTGACCAGGTCAAACCGGACACCTGGCACCTTATTACCCACAGCTGGTTCATACACACGTGGAGGGTCTCCAGTTAAACACGTGCCACGCCCTCATGAGGCAGCCCTTGGCAAGCGGGCAAGCTGGGCACAGAAGCAGTATCTCCAGTGAGCCTTCCTTGCACTTCCTATCACTGGGTGGGGTTGCACGTGCTCTGGAGGACAGGGTCATAATTCAAAATGATCTGGACAAACTAGAGAAATGGTCTGAGGTAAACAGGAAGAAGTTAATAAAGAGAAATGCAAAGTGCTCCACTTAGGACGGAACAATCAGTTTCACACACACACAGAATGGGAAGCGACGGTCTGGGAAGGAGTACGGCAGAAAGGGATCTGGGGGTTATAGTGGACCACAAGCTAAATATGCGTCAACAGCGTGATGCTGTTGCAAAAAAAGCAAACGTGATTCTGGGATGCATTCACAGGAGCATTGTGAGCAAGACTCGAGAAGTCGTTCTTCCGCTCTACTCTGCGCTGGTTAGGCCTCAGTGGGAGTATTGTGTCCAGTTCTGGGCACCGCATTTCAAGAAGGATCTGGAGAAATTGGAGAGGGTCCAGAGAAGAGCAACAAGAAAGATGAAAGGTCTAGAGAACATGAGCTATGAAGGAAGGCTGAAAGAATTGGGTTTGTTTAGTTTAGAAAAGAGAAGATTGAGGGGGGACATGATAGCCGTTTTCAGGTATCTAAAAGGGTGTCATAAGGAGGAGGGAGAAAACTTGTTCATCTTGGCCTCTGAGGATAGAACAAGAAGCAACGGGCTTAAACTGCAGTAAGGAAGGTTTAGATTGGACACTAGAAGAAACTTCCTCACTGTCAGGGTTGTTAAGCACTGGAACAACTTGCCAAGGGAGGTTATAGAATTTCGGTCAATGAAGGATTTTAAAAACAGGTTAGACAAACACTTGTCAAGAGTGGTCTAATTATTAGGTAGCCCTGCCTTGAGAGTAGGGGACTGGAATAGATGACTTATTGAGGTCACTTCCAATCCTACACTTTTTATGATTCTAAAAACAACAAGAAAGCCCCAGAAAATTATCTGAAAACATCCAAAACGTTACATGTAAAGTCTGGGGAAGAGGAATCTTGGTATGAAACACTGGAGGTCTGATTCTGCTACCCTTACACATGCTGAGTAATTTTTAGTCCACAAGAAAGAATCATTCAAAATTGATAGAGGTGGCAAAACTGAACCCTAAGGTTTCTGCCACTCACGTCAATAGGAACAGATGATGTCCAAAATTCACCCCAAAATCAGGCCAATGAAGTAGACATTGGTCAAAGTGAGATATGCAAAGTTTAAAAGCGGATCATTACATGTGAATGCTCCAACCAACTCTGCCTGACAGGGATAGTTAGAGTTTTTAATCATAGCTGTAATCATAGATTCTGTAATTTATTATTATTATATAAAAATCTGTGACTTTTGAGGATTATTGCATGTGATAAGATCATTTTGATCTCGCAGGTGAGATAAGTGGTTACCCACTAGGGTTGCCAGATGGTTTAACCAAAAATACCGAACACACTCACACCCAAAAAAACAAAAAAAACAAACCACCGGGGAGAAAATTCTGTTGGGGGGGGGAGGGGAGATCAAAGTTATTGAGCAAAAAAAAAAATTAAAAATTGAAAGAAACAGCATGGCCCTTTTAGGAAACGCTTTTGAGGCTTTTCGGCCTGACCAGGCTGCTGGCGGCCGTCCGCCATCTTGTCTTCCTGCTCTGGGCCAGACAGCTCCCCAGCAGAACCCGGTAAGCACGCGGGATTTTCGCCTGCTGGCCGGGAAAAAAAATCAGAAAATACCGGACATTTTAGGTGTCTGGTACTTTCTGAATTTTTTTTACTGGACAGGAGGTGAAAGTACTGGACTGACCAGGTCAAACCGGACACCTGGCACCTTATTACCCACAGCTGGTTCATACACACGTGGAGGGTCTCCAGTTAAACACGTGCCACGCCCTCATGAGGCAGCCCTTGGCAAGCGGGCAAGCTGGGCACAGAAGCAGTATCTCCAGTGAGCCTTCCTTGCACTTCCTATCACTGGGTGGGGTTGCACGTGCTCTGGAGGACAGGGTCATAATTCAAAATGATCTGGACAAACTAGAGAAATGGTCTGAGGTAAACAGGAAGAAGTTAATAAAGAGAAATGCAAAGTGCTCCACTTAGGACGGAACAATCAGTTTCACACACACACAGAATGGGAAGCGACGGTCTGGGAAGGAGTACGGCAGAAAGGGATCTGGGGGTTATAGTGGACCACAAGCTAAATATGCGTCAACAGCGTGATGCTGTTGCAAAAAAAGCAAACGTGATTCTGGGATGCATTCACAGGAGCATTGTGAGCAAGACTCGAGAAGTCGTTCTTCCGCTCTACTCTGCGCTGGTTAGGCCTCAGTGGGAGTATTGTGTCCAGTTCTGGGCACCGCATTTCAAGAAGGATCTGGAGAAATTGGAGAGGGTCCAGAGAAGAGCAACAAGAAAGATGAAAGGTCTAGAGAACATGAGCTATGAAGGAAGGCTGAAAGAATTGGGTTTGTTTAGTTTAGAAAAGAGAAGATTGAGGGGGGACATGATAGCCGTTTTCAGGTATCTAAAAGGGTGTCATAAGGAGGAGGGAGAAAACTTGTTCATCTTGGCCTCTGAGGATAGAACGAGAAGCAATGGGCTTAAACTGCAGCAAGGAAGGTTTAGGTTGGACATTAGGAAAAAGTTCCTAACTGTCAGGATAGTCAAACACTGGAATAAATTGCCCAGGGAGGTTGTGGAATCT